GAAGTTTCACTACTGCCCTTCAACTTTCTCCACAATGGGCACATGTGGCGCTTAATGAAAACCTAGACTTTGTAGAAAGAACATTTTGGTTGGATAGAAAACACATGCACTTCTGTAAGTAACAGGTCATAAGCTATGATTTATTGGATTCCACGTTTATTACCTAAACAAAAGAAAAACATGTGGCACTCAATTTATCTTTGTGATACATTCAAGCCTTAATTTCATCCAGGGATATTCTCTGTGGATTAAAAGTACAATTTTCCCCTGAAAAGTAGCTGTAAAAATGGCATTTTCAACTCAACACATGAACTCCGTATTTACCTAGAGTCTGACCCGCTGACTGAAATGACCAAAATAAAACGTTCATGCTTTTCATTCCTATTAGTGCAGCAGGAACCCAGGCAGCTAAGAGCGTAAGCAGGAATCTATTCCTGGCTGTTGATCAGCCGCCTCTTTTTTTTGTTTTTTTTCAAAACTTAATTCCAGTCAGTTACATCTGTAGACACCCAGCAAAGACGGGTGTGCACAGGTGTCACAGAGGGCACCATCTGAAAACAATGAAGTTGCACAAGTGTTACAAAGGCCCTAATTTGGCCTGCAGAACCTTTGTAACAGGCAGTAGCATAAGAAGGAAAGAAATAAGCATGCTTCTCAGCTCTGTTGTGGAGTTTGCAGGGCTGCTGGTTAGAAAAAGCATCTCCTGCTTGTAAACCAAGAACATTTGGTAAGGAGATAACACACCCACACATACACTCATGGAACCCATGATGCCATTTCTACTGAGCCACTTTTCAGAGCAGAGCTGAATTTTAAGCTGCATGAATTGTGACACTGTGCTCTGAAGTGCCAGGGAGGTCTGAGAAAAGCAAAAAGTGGTTGTCTAAATATACTTACACACAGCTCTCTCTAGATGGTGCTAAAAATTAAACTTTATGATAATCTAGAATCTTACCTAGTCTACCTCCTAATATGAAATTTCTCCAAAAAAGAAATGTTGATTACTTTTTGCAAGAGGTTGTGAAATAAGTAACTTCTGAGTATATCATCATCTATGGTAAAACACATAACGTGTTTTTATATTTAAAGTAGGACTGTCAAAAATCGCAGTTAACTCAAGTGATTAACTCAAAAAAATTAATCGCAATTAAAAAAATAATTGCGATTAATCACACTTATAACAGTAGAATACCATTGAAATTTATTAAATATTTTTGGATATTTTTCTACATTTTCAATATTTATTTCAATTACCACACAGAATACAAAGTTTACAGTGCTCACTTTATATTATTTTTATTACATATATTTGCACTGTAAAAATGATAAACAAAAGAAATAGTATTTTTCAATTCACCTCATAAAAGGACTGAAGTGCGATCTCTTTATCAAGAAAGTGTAATTTACAAATCCAGATTATTTTGGTTACATGACTGCATTCAAAAATAAAACAGTGTGAAACTTTAGAGCCTACAAGTCCACACAGTCCTATTTCTCATTCTGCCAATCGCTAAAACAAACATGAAAAGGAGTACTTGTGGCACCTTAGAGACTAACCAATTTATTTGAGCATGAGCTTTCGTGAGCTACAGCTCACTTCATCGGATGCATACCGTGGAAACTGCAGCAGACTTTATATACACACAGAGAATCTGAAACAATACCTCCTCCCACCACTTTGACAGGAGATATTGCTGCCTGCTTCTTATTTATGTCACCTGAAAGTGAGAACAGGCGTTCACATGGAACTTTTGTAGCTGGCGTTGCAAGGTATTACATGCCAGATATGCTAAACATTCGTATGCCCCTTCATGTTTCGGTCACCATTCCAGAGCACATGCTTCCATGCTGATGATGCTCGTTAAAAAAAAAAATGCGTCAATTACATTTGTGACTGTACTCCTTGGGGGAAGAATTGTATGTCTCTTGTTCTGTTTTACCTGCCTTCTGCCATATATTTCATGTAATAATAGCAGTCTCAGATGATGACCGAGCACATAATTGTTTTAAGAACACTTTCACAGCAGATTTGACAAAACACAAAGAATGTATCAATGTGAGATTTCTAAAAAATAGCTACAGCACTTGACCTAAGCTTTAAGAATCTGAAGTGCTGTCCAAAATCTGAGAGGGACGAGGTGTGAAACATGCTTTTAGAAGTCTTAAAAGAGCAACACTCTGATGCGGAAACTACAGAACCCAAACCACCAAAGAAGAAAAATCAACCTTCTGCTGGTGGCATCTGACTCAGATGATGAAAATGAACATGCATCAGTCCACACTGCTTTGGATCATTATCAAGCAGAACCCATCATCAGTGTGGAACCATGTCCTCTGGAATGGTGGTTGAAGCATGAAGGGACATATGAATCTTTAGCGCATCTGGCATGTAAATATCTTGCAACATCAGCTACAACAGAGCCATGCGAATGCCTGTTCTCACTTTCAGGTGACATTGTAAACAGAAAGCAGGCAGCATTATCTCCTGCAAATTGTAACCAACCTTGTTCGTCTGAGTGATTGGCTGACCAAGAAGTAGGACTGAGTGGACTTGTAGACTCTAAAGTTTTACATTGTTTTATTTTTGAATGCAGTTTTTTGTACATAATTCTACATTTGTAAGTTAAACTTTCATGATAAAGAAATTGCACTACAGTACTTGTATGAGGTGAATTTTTTTGGTTTTTACAGAGCAAATATTTGTAATAAAAAATAAATATAAAGCGAGCACTGTACACTTTGTATTCTGTGTTGTAATTTAAATTAATATATTTTAAAATGTAATAAACATCCAAAAATATTAAAAATAAATGGTATTCTATTGTTGTTTAATCTCACGATCACAATTAATTTTTTTAATCGCTTGACGGTCCTAATTTAAATTAATTGTTTGCTGAAGAACAATGGAGGTCTGCATAAGGCCCAAAATAATATGGCGTCAAAAGCATTTATCATCGGAGTGGTACAGTTATGAATTATGCTTAGCACCTGGATCCATGGACATTAGTAGAGATGCCTTTGAGACATTTCATGCTGTATTTCCCAACAACCCATAATTTCTACCATCTTGAAATACTACACTGGCACCATATCTATATCTGATTAACACAAGATTAAAAACTAGAGTTGTGAAACAGAGCCTGTGGACTTGGAAACAATGCCTTCATTGATGAATGTCCAAGGACTATAGGGTTAAGGGTGCCAAAGGGAGTACAGAAATCCTGACTGAAGAATTAATCAGATATATAAACAGGTTTTAAAGCTGGGAGCCTTCTATAGAATGTGACAAGAGGCATGGCTTTCAGTTGCTTATCCAACAATTACCCAAAATTGGAATTAATTGAGAAACTTAACAGTAACAAGTTACCGGGACCAGATGGCATTCACCCAAGAGTTCTGAAAGAACTCAAATGTGAAACTGTGGAACTATTAACCACGGTTTGTAACCTGTCCTTTAAATCACCTACTGTACCCAATGACTGGAAGATAGCTAATGTAACGCCAATATTTAAGAAGGGCTCTAGAGGTGATCCTGGCAATTACAGACCGGTAAGTTGAACGTCCATACCGGGCAAATTAGTTGAAACCATAGTAAAGAATAAAATTGTCAGACACATAGAAGAACATAAATTGTTACGCAAAAGTCAACATGGCTTCTGTAAAGGGAGATCATGTCTTACTAATCTATAAGAGTTCTTTGAGGGGCTCAACAAACATGTGGACAAGGGGGATCCAGTGGACATAGTGTACTTAGATTTCCAGAAAGCCATTGACAAGGTCCCTCACCAAAAGCTCTTATGTAAATTAAGTTGTCATGGGATAAGAGGGAAGATCCTTTCATGGATTGAGAACTGATTAAAAGACAGGGAACAAAGGGTAGGAATAAATGGTAAATTTTCAGAATGGAGAGGGGTAAGTAGTGGTGTTCCCCAAGGGTCAGTCCTTGGACCAATCCTATTCAACTTATTCATAAATGATCTGGAGAAAGGGGTAAACAGTAAGTTTGCAGATGATACTAAACTGCTCAAGATAGTTAAGACCAAAGCAGACTGTGAAGATCTTCAAAAAGATCTCACAAAACTAAGTGATTGGGCAACAAAATGGCAAATGAAATTTAATGTGGACAAATGTAAAGTAATGCACATTGGAAAAAATAACCCCAACTATACTCACAATATGATGGGGGCTAATTTATCTATAACTAATCAGGAGAAAGATCTTGGAGTCATCGTGGACAGTTCTCTGAAGACGTCCATGCAGTGTGCAGTGGCAGTCAAAAAAGCAAACGGAATGTTAGGAATCATTAAAAAAGGGATAGAGAATAAGATGGAGAATATCTTATTGCCCTTATATAAATCCATGGTATGCCCACATCTTGAATACTGCATACAGATGAGGTCCCCTCATCTCAAAAAAAGATATACTGGCATTAGAAAAGGGCAACTAAAATGATTAGAAGTTTGGAACAGGTCCCATATGAGGAGAGATTAAAGAGGCTAGGACGTTTCATCTTGGAAAAGAGGAGACTAAGGGGGGATATGATAGAGGTATAGAAAATCATGAGTAGTGTTGAGAAAGTGAAAGTTATTTACTTGTTCCCAAAATATAAGAACTAGAGGTCACCAAATGAAATTAATGGGTAGCATGTTTAAAACAAATAAAAGGAAGTTCTTCTACACTCAGCGCACAGTTAACCTGTGGAACTCCTTGCTTGAGGAGGTTGTGAAGGCTAGGACTATAACAGGGTTTAAAAGAGAATTGGATAAATTCATGGACGTTAAGTCCATTAATGGCTATTAGCCAGGATGGGTAAGGAATGGTGTCCCTAGCCTCTGTTTGTCAGAGGGTGGAGATGGATGGCATGAAAGAGATCACTTGATCATTACCTGTTAGGTTCACAGGCACCTGGCATTGGCCACTGTTGACAAACAGGATACTGGGTTGGATGGACCTTTGGTCTGACCCAGTATGGCTGTTCTTATGTTCTTATGTTAACATACCTGTGACATCCAGGGGACGCTTCTTCAGAGCAGTAACCACTGGGCCATCTTTCCTGCGTAACAGGGGACTGCTCCGTCTTTCAGCAACTTTCTGCTTTAATCTGGATCGTAACTTCAGGTTGGGTTCAGATGCTGTACAAAGAAAGGAAAAGTCATCACTGAATGCAGAGTTCCATTTAACATCATCTTATTCATCGTTTTCTGCTAACTATATTGGCTAATCTTCAGTGAAGTATTCCACAGAAATGTAAGGGAAATTAATCATATGACATAATAATTGGAACGAAGCATTATCAGTATAATGAAAAAATACCAACAGATACCTTCTGCACTAGTTCTGTTAAAACACTAATGATCAGGATTAATAGTGCTTTTTATAAAAAAGCATGTTACAATGTTTTACATATGGACTGGAGATAATGGTTTGCAGTATGATTTGTTGTAAAGTTCATGAGATCTAATACAAAGTAAGATATTCACCTATAATATATTTATAATCACTCCACTGCTGACTACTAAGCTTATCACAAAGGTAGAGCCTTGGAATGGATATTCTATAAATTAATAAATCAATGGGCCTCTATAGCGGATAACAAAAGAATAATTATCTTAATTTCCCAAGCATAGTTCAAGGATTGTCGTATGACTAACACACACGCAATACTTCAAAAGTTTATCTTAAAATGTGTAACTACCTTAAGGTCATCAGGACTGCCAAGAGGTTTGTGGCCACAGGAAATTTGTAAAATTTGAACCCCTTTACATCATATGATACACATTTTAACTATCCCCTTAAATGAAAGTTTCAGGCATGGGAATGTTCCAAGACTCTATATTCATCAAATGGAAGAGTCAGGAGATGTGCACAGAACCCTCACCACATCCTCCTAAGTAGGAATCAGAGAAGAAACTGAACTGCCAGCACTATGTGTCTCATATAAATATTTTTCAATAGGTAAGGAAGCCATGAGAAAGGGAAAAGATTCCCACTGGAAGACATCTTTTTTTTGTAAACTTTGTGCTCTCTTGAGTATGTTTGAAATATTTCCTTGAGTGCTTCAGGGCTCCTGACATTTACTGGATTTGTGAACTTACCCAAACTTTCTCCTCCTCCACTCTCCAGCAATTCTGCTGTCTAATTCCTTTTACTGGCAAGTTCTATGCTCTCACCATTAAAGGTGATTCTTGATTCTTTGTGCCCAAGGGTTGACAATGTAAAACTTCTTCAGCAGACTTGAAGTCGGATTTACAAATTGATTTTGTTTAACAAAGTCTGGCTACAGATTTATTTCCCTCTAGAGTGTGTAGAATGCCAACATAGAATGTTTTAATTGAGAACAGCACACAAATTGGAAGTTGACGACTTCATGATCAAATGCTTAAAAGTTCTCATCAAAACTGTTCTCCGATGAGACTTTAGAGAAGGAGCTTTTCATGAATATACCATGGACAGAAAAAAATGTCTACCTAAATTTGCTTTAAAAAAAGATAAAGGAGATACTTTTAAAAAGTGTCAGGCTCATCAAGATGATTTTAAAATTCAATTTGAAATCCATTAGTGAAGGGCAAAATCACGTTATAGGCCATTTACATAAAGACAGCAAGTGGAATGAATATAAATCTGTTGTTTGCCAGAAGGACAAAATTAAAGAGGGGGCTATTTAAATATCAATTGCACTTTCTTCCACGTTAGTTCAGAAAAAAAAGAGCTCTGCTTTAAAGGGAAGGACCTAATATTAGTTTAAAAGTAGACAATAGACATGAGAACACTCAGAGCCTCATGGTATAGTCTTTATTCTTTAAGGTAGATAATTTACAGTTACAGCCAATTTACATTTTAAATAAATTAATTGATTAGATGTTTGGATCTATACTTTAAAAAAAAGTAAAGCAATAATTCATATAAATGTGGCTATGTATATTGTGCATCTATATGGAGTATCTACATATGCATGCAATGTATGAAGTGAGCTGTAGCTCATGAAAGCTTATGCTCAAATAAATTTGTAAGTCTCGAAGGTGCCACAAGTCCTCCTTTTCTTTTTGCGGATACAGACTAACACGGCTGCTACGCTGAACCATATTCTACAGTTGGTTAAAGCATCTGACTTCTGACAAAGAAAAATATGACAATATAAATTACATTAAAATGAGGATTTCATTCATATAATTTATTCTTGTATGGTATTTGTCTGAATTACGTTTTGTGTTTGGAATAGAGAAATCACTGTATTTTAAAGGTATACAATGAAGAAAGTGTCTAAGTATGAAACACCTTAAAATGGAGAAAAAAAATCAGGGTATACAGGAACTCCTCACTTAAAGTCGTCCCGGTTAACGCTGTTTCGTTGTTACGTTGCTGATCAATTAGGGAACATGCTTGTTTAAAGTTGCGCAATGCTCCCTTACGATGTCGTTTGGCAGCCGCCTGCTTTGTCCACTGCTTGCAGGAAGAGCCGCCCGTTGAAGTTAGCTAGTGGGGGTTGGGTGGAACCAGGGTGGACCGGCAGCGCCCCATCAGCTCCCTGTTGTTCCCCTAAGTTCCCTGTGCCGCAGCTGCCCAGCAGGCTACCAATTGCCAGCAGTTCAGCTGTCCCTCCCCCCACTGCCATGTGCTGCTCCTGCTCTCTGCATTGGAGCTGCTCCCCGGAGCCTCCTGCTTGCTGTGCAGGGGGTGTGGGGTGGGGTCTAATGTCACAGTGTCCACCTCCCCCTTGCTCCTGCACCCCACTTACCCAATCTTCCATAGAGTGGGGGGGGGGGGGGAGAAGGAGAGAGAGAGGGGAGGACACAGGACAGGGCTCAGGATGGAGGGAGCTTCCTGGCAGCAGCTGCCATCTCAGCTTGCAGATTAACTTAAAAAGACAGTGAACTTAGAGTGGGCTCAGCGAATTTAAAGGAGTAATGTGCAGCTCTCTCTCTCTCCCACGCACAGGGTGTGTGTCTCTGTCTCCCCTCCCTCCATTCATGCTGCCTTGTAGAATGTGAGGCTACATTAACAAGTTAACCCTTGAAGGCTCAGGCAATTGCTAGTTCATCATTTAGCAGTAAGGCATTCCCTAGGAAATATCCCACCCTCTGACTTCACTACCTCAACCAAGCTTCACAATCATCATCGCTGTGTACCAGTATTAAATTGTTTGTTTAAAACTTATAGTGTGTGTGTGTGTGTGTGTGTGTGTGTATCTATATATCTACATAATATATAGTCTTTTGTCTGGTGAAAAAAAATTTCCCTGGTACCTAATCCCCCTCCCCCATTTACATTAATTCTTATGGGGAAATTTGATTTGCTTAACACTGTTTCACTTAAAGTTGCATTTTTCAGGAACATAACTACAACGTTAAGTGAGGAGTTACTGTATTACAAATGATGCTACAGGTCTGAATATACTAATAAGAATCATTTCCTGTAACAAGAATTTCAATGTGAATGAAAATAAGGAACCACATGCTTAAACAAAACATCTCCAAAGGAAGATATGACCATCCAAAGAAAACACATGGAATTTCCCAGACAAATGTATTACATGGTGTTCTTCATCCCCTCCTCATCTTGGGATAAGTTTCAAAATAGTTAGTAGTTGTTTAAACCCTTACCATTCTACAACTAAAAGTTTAGACTTTGTTCTACAATATTGTTTTTTCTTTTTTTTTTCAAAAAAAAATACTAATGCTATACAGAAATTTTTATCAAAACTCCAAGGAATTTTTAAACATTGGTATCCCATTTCACCTGTCATTCATATCCATGGTACATGAAAATATCTGTATACATTTCACTAGGTGTTACGTAAGTCGGAGTTAAGTGAATTAACAACACCCTGCCAGCAGCACAGAATTATCTGAAATTCTAGGTATTTACATATGTTATTTTGGAATGTCTCAGTGTTATAAAGAATTTCAATTTTCAACAATGCATATTGAAAGCTCAGTCAGGGCCAATAAGCTTATTTGTTTTTTTTACTGTCATCTAATGAAAAAAATGCTGCCTAAATTTAAGAGACCTATACTTCACAAGTATAAATAAGAAAATAACATGAATCAGCCAGCACATAACTCAAACGATATTATGGAGTTTGAGCGCATAGGTTCAATTTTCTTTAAGAAACATCAGTTCTACTGAAAATCAACTGACATTCATCCCACCATACAATGTGTCCAAATGAAGTGTTGTTCAGAGTCTTAATGCAATCTACAATGCATGGAAGTCAATCTCAAAAGCTTTGTACTCTTTAGGTCACGTAATGTCTTCTTATCAAATGGTATACACTTATTAATTCAAAAATTCAGTTAGGTATTGTGACAGGGTCGGGCCAGATGGCTACAGGAGAGTAATAGAAGGCAGATATATTAGCCCCAGGTTAAGTAGGTCCCTTTTCCCTGGGTAAGGTAACAGGGAAGGTTCCAGAACAATCACGAACCTTCTGGAGACAATTAAGACAGACAGGCTGATTAGAACACCTGCAGCCAATCAAGAAGCTGCTAGAATCAATTAAGGAAGGCTAATCAGGGCACCTGGGTTTAAAAAGGAGCTCACTTCAGTTTGTGGTGCGTGTGTAAGGAGCTGGGAGCAAGAGGCGCTAAGAGCTGAGAGTGAGGACGCATACTGTTGGAGAACTGAGGAGTACAAGCATTATCAGACACCAGGAGGAAGGTCCTATGGTGAGGATAAAGGTGTTGGGAGGAGGCCATGGGGAAGTAGCCCAGGAATCATAGAATATCAGGGTTGGAAGGGACCTCAGGAGGTCATCTAGCCCAAACCCCTGCTCAAAGCAGGACCAATCCCCAACTAAATCATCCCAGCCAGGGCTTTGTCAAGCCTGACCTTAAAAACTTCTAAGGAAGGAGATTCCACCACCTCCCTAGGTAACGCATTCCAGTATTTCACCACCCTCCTAGTGAAAACGTTTTTCCTAATATGCAACCTAAACCTCCCCCACTGCAACTTGAGACCATTACTCCTCATACTGTCATCAGCTACCACTGAGAACAGTCTAGATCCATCCTCTTTGGAACCCCCTTTCAGGTAGTTGAAAGCAGCTATCAAATCCCCCCTCATTCTTCTCTTCCGCAGACTAAACAATCCCAGTTCCCTCATAACTCATGTGTTCCAGTCCCCTAATCATTTT